GTTGTATTGCTTCTCAGCTTCATGTGCTCTGGTAGTCTGGGTTAGATTCGATCGCAAAAAGTGAGAATAGGCCGCCTAAATAATACGTACTTGAGATCCTCAGCCGTCTCGAATTTCTTGGGTTTCTTGGGGCAGCATTCGCACATGAAGAATCCCTGCATCTTAAGCCCGGGCTTCTGTATTTCGGGAATTTTCCTCGGGCTTGCGCCTGAGACGTTTCGGTGGTGCCCTGTAGCCCGTCCAGAGATAGAACCCCTCGGGCTGGGGTTAAGGGACTTTGGTGTAGTGTATGGGGAGGCGGTGGAGGTGGGTGAGATACCGCTAGGCGATTGTCCCCTGGGAGAGCGACGGTCGTACGTAGCAGCGCTTGATAGGCCTACTGAGATGTTGGATACGTAGGAGCTTGAGCGGGAAAGTGAAGGTACAGGCACGCCCTGTGATATCGTAGCAAGACGGGGAGTGGGAGAACCTCGAGGGTTGGCCTCGCCTCGTCGCAGGAGGTCATCCGAAGGTGCACGACGCTTTTGCCCAGCCAGGCAAACATCACCAAGCTGAAGCCTTTTGAGCGAGGAGGTTTCTTCGATTTCCATCTCCTCGGCGCCGTAGTATTCATATCCACCGTGGACTGATGCATCATCGCTATTGTTTCTAGACGATCGAGTTCGTGGAGACCTATCCATGTCCACGCTCTCTTGCGGGGATCGACGGCCTGTGTGGCTGAAGGGTGTAGATCTGGGTGAGAACGAGGATGCATCTGACATCCTGGATGGCTCGAGAGGTCGTGGGTGGAAAGGGAGCTGGTGAGGCATGCTGAGGACGGAGGGGTATCGCTCGGGAGGCCTCGAGGAGAGGCTGCTGAGGCTGCTGAGGGAGGATATCGGTGGAGATCTATCGACGGGGCGCATCTGGTCAAGCTTCTTCTTCATGCTGTCGACGTCGCCCGCTGGCGATTGAAACTGAAATCTGTCGTGGTGTAGTCCGAATCCGAGGGGTGGGAATGCATCTCTGGGTCTGGAGGTATGTTAGATCTGCTTGTTCTGGCAAGACAACAGATATCTCATGTTGATTGCGCGGGCTGTGCTTACCTTTCCATTGATGACCAGCTTGAGAAGCTTGAGTAACCTTCGTCGTGGTCCTCAGTCTTGATTCCGGTAACCCTCCTCTTTAACCTGTCCCTTTCCTCGGCGACTGATGAGGCGGCACTCCCATAGCCACTGCTCAAGGAGGGCGTGAACTGAGCATAGTCTCGTCGGTCTATTGACATAGCTTGGTCGTTGGGGTTACCCAGGGGCATCCGAGGAGGTGGCAGTGGAGGAGGAGCTTCTTGTCGGAGGTCTGAGCCAGGAATTGACATTGCTGGACTCCTTCCATAGGGTTGATCATCATGTCGAGATCGAAAGCGGGCGGCGGCACCTGGGACTATAATACTCGGGAGGCTCTGGGCCTCTCTTTGCTGGAGCTCCATGTTGATGCAATAATCCTGACTCAAGGCCCTAGTAATGGGAGGATGTAGGAAGACCTAGTAAAGCCCGGGAGGCTGGTCCTCCTCGTCATAGGGCAGTGAGTGGATGAGCCTTCGTTTTTGCCGGTGGGTTTGTGGAGTAGGTTCAGCTCTGTGATTCTGGCAGTGGCGAGCGCGGTTTCGGGGAGGCCGACGAATCACGAAGCAGAGGTCGGGATTCAGCAGCACAGCCTGGTGTTTCGTCCCAGCTGGAAAAAAAATAAACAAGGGATACAAATAGAAAGGCGGAGTAGAACAAGAAGAGGAGAAAAACAATAAAAAAACCAAGCGTCGTCTTAGACCGGCCGAGAGGACCAAAGGCCAAAAGGCAGCTTTATCAGGAACAATGCTGTGGCGAGGCGAAAAGAAACGTGTGATGCGGGTGTCCTATTTCAGGTCATACCTTGAGTGCACGAGGTGACCAAGCAAACCGCTCGTCCTATCTTTTCCTCAGCAACAAGAATTGCCGGATGGCTGAGCTTCTTCCCTCTATCCTTCCCTGGCAGGCAATTGGCGATGCTGGTGTAAATCAATGACGGGGCGCTGTGGCAAGTTACTGTGAGATGCAATGGCAATGGGAGTGACAGAATGCAGATAGAGGGAGGGGTTTGGAGTTTGATGGGGGGGACGGGGTCTAGTACTTGAACCATGAACAACATCGACCACTTAAACTGCTGAAATGAGAAGACTCTGGCCGAGCAGATTGGAATAGCATTGGCATGGCTTCGCAAACGGTAGAGGTGCTGGGGGACTCGCAGGGCTGCTCTTGCTCCCACTCCACACCCCGTCGACAAGGGTGCACCACAGAGACATTTGCCCATTGGTCCCGTCGTCAGAGTTGTGGCTTTGCTAGGGAGGGGTGGACGTTACGTACCGTGGTACGTCCGCGCTGGGATCCGCAGAAGGGCCCGTCGAGGACCCACGGAAATACCTCCCTGCGAGGTAGAGCCAAACCCTGCAAGCAGCACCCCCAAGCGCGGGAAGGAGAGGGGGGGCGTGGAGCCCGAGCCTGAGTGTCGCTGCTCGTCGTCAACGCCCAGGGAGTAGCCTGGCAGATAATGGACGCGCGCGGGCCCTTGACAGACAAGCCCTACCTTACCTTATACTGGCACCTACATGCCTTGCGAGGTACCAGCACACCTCCTTGGTGGGACCCTGCCTCCTAGAGACGCGGCATGCTGCCACCATCGAATAGTCGCGCTCCGGTGAAGAAGACGCCTGGATGCGTGCTGAGCAAACACAATCCAGGGCCGGTGTGTCATGCTCCGTCGTGCAGTAATCCAACCATCCGATCAGTGGGCTGCCAACGGACAACCCTGGGTACTGGAAAGGGCGGGTTGGCTGGTGTGGACTTTGGTCTCCCAGCGCCTACCGATTGAGCCGCTGGATGCTCCAATGCGTGACTAGACCCGATCCATTCTTACATTGCTGTGCGCGTGCCGCTTCGAGCCGTACTTTGGCCGCCGCGCTCCCGATCATGCCATCAAACCGAGCGCGCGTGCGTAGGTACCAAAAGTCGGCGACCCTATGGACTGTCCTGATCGACCTCATCGCATGCTCCACCGAATGAAAGAGCCTAGCCCAGAGCATGCCTGGGCGTGTAGGGCCATGGACATGAGTTCTGAGCCACCCCCCACACTCTCCCGACGGGAAGGCAAGCAAGCGGGAGGGGAGGATGGAAGGTACATGCACGCAAAGTCCCCAGGGTGTGCGAGGGCGCCCTCACTACCGTGCCTATGTAGGCCTAGCTCGCCGCTGCTGCTGGTATGGGATTGGATGGTAATACATTGGCAACAGTAGGTGGATAGCGCATACCTACGTAAGGCCCTACTAAGTACCTCGAGAGCGACCCTTGTCCCTCGCACCAGCGCGCAAGAGACCTAATTTCCATCCAGAGGGAGCCTGTTTCACGGCTTTCAAGGGTCATTCGTGCGCATTGAGAAGAAGAGGAACCTTCGGCTTGTCAATGGATCTCGGGGCTTCTCTGACATCGATCGCCACCCACGGCCGCTTTGGTGATGATTGACAGCCTTTCTAGGACCCGTGTCTTACTTTTCTTCACATCACAAAGGCCGCCGGCTGCCTCCTGCCCATTGGCACGCCAGTGCTGACCCGTAACAGCAGCGCGCGCCTTGTCATTGCAATGTCGACTCTAGGACGGAGTTACGGAGTTCAGATACGGGCCTTGGCCAATATCGCGTACATCCTAAGTACGTGGTGCTACTGTATGTATTGTTCCTTCATATTTTCCTCTGCATATTTTGAAGAGAGGCCCCATTCCATCCCGCATCCGAGGCGTCACGTCCAGGGTCTCGCAACAGAAACTCGCCTGGCATCCTGCAGCTAACAGCGCGCGATTGAGCCGTCCGCATCTATTCTAGGCAGCGCCTTATGAATGCAGGTCGAGATCTCATCCATGCGGGCGCGCTGACAACGCAGCGAGGATCAAAGGACAACCCCCATTGCGAGCCTCCGGGGAGCTATGGATGCAATTAACACTTACGAAGCAGCTTATTTTTCAACCTAAGCTAAGCCTAGCCTTACCAGCAGCGAGGCATGCCGGCGCACATTTTTCCTCTTTCGCGATGGCGTCGCTCGCGCGGGAGCCCTGCGGTCTGGCATGGGCTTCTTGTCATGTTCTTTGGGCTGTTTGCCAAGTGCATCCATGTTGGCCTCAATTGGCAGCAGCGTTGATCAGCGACAAGGCCGCCTGTAAGGATAAATTTGGCCTAGAGACACCTGGTTCTGAAACACCGGCAAGGCTATTGGCATGTGGATCTTTCAGTTGAATCCTCCTCAAACCCCGCCCTATCAGGCCCAAATCTATTCTTAAACTGCCGACTTTGGGGGCCCCAAGTCCTAAGATACTACCCAAAGTCCCGTTATCGAGATGCCTGTACTAGAATAAGGCGCTGTGAACGTCAATCACCCATGTTGAAGATGAGAGTTTCGGGGTCCTCGGCCAGGCAGCACTCGGCTCGGGGACCACTCGCTCACGATTCTGTCAGCAACGGCAGATGGCATCGCGCCAGGGTCTCATCTCGGCATATCCAAGGCGGTTCAACCCCGAGACTGTGCTGTGCTGACACGGCTCAATTTTACTAGGTAATATAACAACATTGGGCTGATCTCAACGCAGGAATGGTTCCATCTAAACGAGGCTGAAGACCAGGAATTCCCCGACGTTACTCCTCTCCCAGAACTCTTCAATCTCAGGCAGCAAACATTGGATTACATTGATGAAGTCCTTGCCTGAGCCTTCTCCACTCCTTCTTGATCGCCTGTGCCGTAGACTTTGGCTGAAGCTAATTGGAAAGCCCACGCGAACAACTGTCAGCCCTGCAGCAAGTCAGCTTGATGAGTCGGAAATTCCCTGATCCGGTAATTCCAAATCCATCACGCATAATCTAGCCCCAAACCACGTTCCATCACTCTTAAACCCCGCCCAGGCATCATATCGCCAAGCGTACAAGGCAGGGATCGCACTAACTAGAGGAAAATGAGCACCATCATCGCCATCATCCTCACCGGCGGGCGTATATTCCAAGTCGCCACGGCAATGATGCCCGAGGGTCTGGCGCCGCCCCCAACCGCTGAGCTTTGGTAAGCCTTATGACTATCTATGGGTGATGCTCTCGCGCGCTCCGTCTCTGCCTCTCCACTCCCTATAGTCCGCGACGTACAGCTAATAGCGCGCCGCGCATGCCAACCATCGAAGCGCCATACACGCCCTACCGGTGGGGCCAGGGGAAGGCCATGGCTCCCTCTGCTGGGGGAGCGAGCACTAAATCCTCACAGACGCTCCGGCACTGCAGACGTTCAGGGATGTGCGTCGCAGTCTCATGGTCGGGCTCATCGGAGGCCGTGTGTCCGGTCAGTGACCAACACGAGCAGTGACAGGCCCTCGCTTCATCATGATTACCTACCTACAGTAAGAAGTTGGTAAGACCTAACACATTGCAATCGGCCTGTTGGTCACTGACAATACAGACGGGACCGATAGAACGAAACTCCTCTCCTCTCTCCCAGTCGGTCTTCACAACTGCCACAATCCCTGCTCGACTAATTTTAGCCTGCCAACCTTTTCCCCTGAGGCTCTAAAACTCTATTGAACCTTCGTCCAGTTGGTCAGAATACTACTACGTACGTGCGTTTCGCTCCTCGGATTTGGGATAGTCTCTGAGCCGCCGGGGAAATCTACCAACCAGAGCACAAGTTTGTGGGCGTTTCATATACCGAAGTTCCGTCGCTCAAAACTTGTCCATTCCTTCCCTTCCCATCCCCTCTCCTACCCCAATTGGCCGAGGCACGACGGGTAGGGCGAGGAGGATTTTGGTGGGAGAGTGATACCCGATTAGCAAACCAGTGTTTTGGTTTCCCCCCGTACTCGCTTATTGATGCCATGGTGGCTGGGGACGGCAGCTACGTACGCAGCGTGCGCGTTGGATCCCCCGCCGATAAGGGAAGGTAGAGGGGACGAGGGCGGTTTGGGTGTAACTCGCGCAGAATATCCACTCCGGCCGTATTACGTATGTGTCATTTGGCGCCCACGCGGGAAAGAAGGGGGAACGGGGGGGAGAAACACAAGGAGAAAAATGGACGGTGCGACTTTGACGCCGCCGCGGCCCCCGTAGGGCTTGGGCGCTTCGCTGATCTCCCTTACCCTCGCGCAGGGATTGGGCCAGCCGGCTCGGAGCTTCAGCAACCAACGACCTGTGTGCCAAGCAAGCTTGGCTGCCATGGAAAAAAAGGGCGGCCAACAAGAGGCGAAGTAATTTATAGGGCATGACATGCATTTTTTTTCCCCATCGCTGAGATTCGCCCCAACATGCATGCAGCCTTGATTCTATGGTCCCCTCCCCCTCTCCATCCACCCCTCCTTGCTCAATCTCGTGTGATGCGATTCAAGGCAGTTTCTCGCCTTCGGGGTTATTGAACGCGCGTAAAGGGGTTTCTGCAAACCATCGATCACTGCTCCATAGGGCTGTTGAAGCGCAATCTATAGGGAGGCGGTGCTGGTGCGGTTGGTGGGCCTGAATCATACGCAATGATGCTACAGTGAGGCTAGCAGGATACGAGGGGCGACGTCTAGAAGATTCACTTTAGAAACGCCGCAGTAGGGCTGTCAAGGTCGCTGTAGTGCAAGACGGTTCTAACCCACACACCTATTTGGCACGTCAACCTGGACATTACCATCGCAGGTGGGGTCCCTGGGAGTGGCTGCATAGGATGTTCCAACGTAACTTGGGCAATCATAACAGGCCTGGACTATGACCCGAAAACAACACCCAGGGCCGAAGAAGAAGAAGGGAAAAATCCAAAGATCTTTCTTGGCCGAGAATACGAGGGCGTCTTCTTGCATTGCAACGATTCGGCGCACCCTTCCCCTCTTCCGGTCCCCGGAGCCCCCTGGATCGCGGAGCCCTTCTCGGCGGCGCGCATGAGAAAGTTGGCTCTTGTCATGAAACCCGCAAGGGCCCCAATATCCCGTTCTGTCGGGAAAACAAGCTTTGAGCGACGGCGCTGGGCCGGTTCGAGGCATGCCACCGAGGCTAGCAACCACGATTGCAGAAAAGATTAAAGCCCACATACTGTATAGTACACGTAGTCGGCGATCTAATAAGGCCTGTTGGGAGAACGGCCCTCTCTGGGTGTTGCGTTGCGTGGGGCGGCGCGACCAAGCCGGAGGGATCCTCAATCTGGCTTGACCTCATATGTAGAAGTCCCATATCCCCATGTCTGTCGGACCAAGGCAACACAATGAGAAGAGCCCGACATTTTGGAGCTAGCGAGTTAGCATGCCCGAGGCCACGGGGGCGGAGATGAAAGAGGGTAAGATGGCAGAAGTATTGGAGGGGGCGTGGAGGCTGTCTGAATCATGAGAATCTGAGTTTTACAATGCACCTCCAACCCAACCAACACTGGTAATGATGTCAAAGGGGACTACATCAAGAAGCAAAAAGAAAAAAAAACGGTCGCCGTCCATCCACTACGAGGAGTTAGTGTCGCTACTTCGGGGTCGGGCGATGTCCGCAACCGAAACCGAGTAAGTCTCTTTCGTCGCCAAAAAAATCATAGAAAAACTAGTTGAGACCGGGCAACCGAGTCAGAGGCTAGCTATCAAGGTATGCATCGTGCATGCCTCATATGGAAGCAACGGCGCTCGCTTGACGCCGGCTCGATTTATGGCTTTCGTTAGTCCCATGCTTATCTTGCCTAGCGGGCCGCCCTCTGGACAACGCCAACGTAAGGGAATGGTAAGATGGCACATGATGATGGATAATACACTTCCATGGCTTCAACTTGCAGCCAATGTAAGCTTCAATACAGGGTAGTGGTAAGTTGGCATGGGGCGGGATTCATCTCCGTAAGGAGTGTCATGGATGCATCAAAAAGCATCGAAGGGGCTGAACTGGGGGTGGATCTTCAGGACCGATCAGCAGTCAGGGAAATGTAAGGCGGAAAACGACCGCTCGCCATCAAGGAAGGCCAAGGCGTGTAGTAAGAAGACGTCGATGATGACGAAGAGGGAAAATGAGAAGGCGGATTGGGAGTCGAAGTCACTGCGTGTGCATGATTGGCATGGATCTCCAATTTGAGGCATGATGGTGGAGCAGTCGAACCCATAGCCAATCTCGAAAGGCTACAGGCCAGTTTCTGGTCCTGCTGAGCTGAGCAGGGCAAGCAAGAAGGAGAATGCCGGATGGAGACCAAATAGGGTCGCGTCTGGGCTCAGCCATGAAGATTGCGAGGCCCTTCATGCCCTTGCCTCCGCCAGAGCTCATTGGCCTGGACGTCCAATTTCACGGGCTTGCTGTGATGAGCCTTGTGAGGGGTAGGAAGGCCATTCGTAAACACTACCTAGCATCGATCTCTGGTCAGCCTCGATACCTCACCTATCGTGTAGCGGCGACGTAACCGCCCTCCCCAGCTGCGGGTTCAACCTCGCTCTAGCAGCTGGGTGTGCGCACAGCCAAATCTCGGATTTAGGAGGCCTGCCAGTGGGCCTGCCCCCGAGCGAATCTAATGGCGATGCTCCAACCGACCGCCTTTTTGCTTAGAAGAGCTGAAAGCTGCTGCCTGCTCTGGAGTATCGAGTGACTGCCGAGCCGCCAGCTGGTCATGTCCAATATTCCGGTGCCTCACTGCCGGGGGAGCTGCCCTATCAGAGGATGCTGATGGCTGCTGTAGTCAGCGCCGTGGCCAGCTAGCGGTGCTGGTGTTGGCGGGCGGGTGGGGATTGGCCTGCCCCCCCCAGAGGCATTGAGCAGGTACCTGTAGGGTTGGTTGGCTGGCACCCATTGTTTTTCTTCCTGGCCCATGCTCTTGGCCTTGGCCAAAGGCTGGTCCCCTGGCCATTGGCTTTGGGCGACCCGGATTCCTGGGAGCGTGCTCTCCCTGAGCTTCCCAGCCCAACCTAGTTCCAGCTGCCTTTCTTGGGAAGTTCTATTCAATCGCGGTGGGGCCATGCTAATTTACGGCTCGTCCTGCTCCTTGTTTGGAGTACGTAGATCCCTACGGGGCTCTCGTGGATACCAGACTGCTGCCTCGTTCAAGAATGGAAGGCAATTACTGAAATGACCAATTATTTGGCCATTCCCTGCTTTGGTCTTGATAATGGGTTGCAAGAATCATAGTTTCTTACCAAAAAATTTGTACAATACCCATGATTGGTGGCTTACAGATTGGAGCGTGCTTCAGCTGGTAGTGTATGGAGTAGGCCCCGGTCATTATCCAGATTGGGTGGTTTGTGCCCGGTTTGGGCCCTGCCCTGGAGTGCATAGCTGAATGCAAGGTGAGCAAAGAGGCTGAAGGGGGGAAAACAACCTCCCGTCTAATATCAAGGGAACCTCCATCATGGACGTAGCGACGCCCAATATGCACTAGGGCCACGCAACAGCCTCGGCTGGTGGGCAAGACAAGATTTGGCCCCTCGCTTTACGAAACTACCCCATTGTTTAGTGCACGTCGTAACGTCGCACACGCCAGCAATGACCTCCTCCCATCAGCTGCGAGCTGGCCGGGCTCTCTCCACAAGCTGTTCGCACCATGGCACAAGGGCGAGAGAAGCCTCCGTAGCTCGGTACTAGCTAGCTGAATCGACCGTCTCAGTTGGTCTCGGTGGGAGACATGGATCATCGCTAGGTCCATAGGGCTGCGCCATACTGCGCGTTCGTATCCAGATATCGTTAGGCGGCTCCAGGATGGCACAGCAGCTCATGCGAGACTACCTACGACACGTGTGACCTGTTCCAGCCTGGAGGTTTTGGGTTTTCCGCGTTGGTGATGATGCCCGTTTATCACAACGCGGTTTTCGATTCCAAGGTGTCACTTCCGCCCCTAGCAGGCCGCGTTAGGCTGCGTGTGGTTGGCATGAGGGTTGGACAGATCCCGTGTGGAACGCAGGTGGAGGACGGGCCTGGCATGTACACCGACCGGAAATACACCCCATAAACAATTAGCTTATCCAGTTACTAGTTTGGATCAACCTCATGCGTACATATATCGTTCATTTGATAGAGAGGGGCATATACTCAGTACCTATGCAATGACACGCAGGTGCAAGAGACTCCGGTTGGCAGTACCTAGTGGCTCCCGATCGGCTTCGGGATGGGTCTTTGGCTCCCGACCCCCGCGAGGACCAGATGCTGTAGCCAAGCCGATAGTTGTGTACGTAGTAGACCAACCGACGGGGCCGCTCGATATTACCTTGCGATGCTACCTCGATCTTATGCGAGGGACGATTGTTTGTTGGCGCTTGTGTTGTGCTACTGATACGGTATTTTTCCTTTTTCTCGCTGCACCTCTCCTGCGTGGGCCTCATCTGCCCTATGATCCATGTCTCAGGGTAGAACATGCATGGGTGAAGAAGTTCCTGTCGACGGCACAGGGCAGAC